AGCATCTCTCAGCTCGCCCCCGAATTGACGGTGACTGTCGCCTGCCCCTAGACATCGTTGGTTCGACTTGTCGGGCCTCACCTATTAGACGGTAATTTGCCACATCGTTGCTGGCCGCGAGTCGTTCGGTAACGATTTGAGCTGAGATAGGAGTCGCCTTCCCCTCCAAAAACCCGACTGCGTCTACCACCGCCTTCGTTGGTCTGCGCATCCAAGAAGGGAAAAAAAAAAACCACCTACACTCGACCTGCCGTCTCGTGCCGCCCTATTCAACATCTGCTCCCTGCCAGAGGACGGGCCGCTGCATTTCTCGCCTTCTCGTGAATCGTCTCGCCTGACCATTGTTTGTTGAATGACGCGACCAAGGCTACAAATTTGAGACCACTCCGTGCCAGAAGGGAGGGCGTGACAAACAAAGACAACGCCCCTCGTTAACGAACGAACATACGGTTACCCTCCATACGACTGCACTTTTGCTACGACGAGCAACCCCTCATTCCTGCACCTCGACGACAAACACCTGTGCCCTTCATTGTTCACGCTGGGGCTTTCATTTCTCCTGGACGCATGGAGTAAACGGACATGGCCCATGCCCCTCTGCTTCGAAATAACACCGCTCCGGTCTTCCACCCCAACCAGAGCGGCGTCAGCGTCCTTCCACACAACAACATGAACAGTGTGCCCCGCGGTAGCCAGCTGTCAGGGTCGACGGCGTATACCAGTTCATCAACGTCGCTGAATTCACTGAGTAGTGCTGCAACCGTGGTTCCAGGGCAGAATGGCGGATCTGTCGTGGCCACGGCCAACATCATCAATCAAAAGGCGGATGCTTCACGATCGCTCTACCAGATTTGTGTCTCCCTTAAACAACGATTAAGTCAAGTGCCCGATTTTGGACCTTTTCTCGAGCAACTTGATCCTACCGATCCTGTCGACCCCTTGTGGAATCTGTTCCGGTCGGGGTATCCCCTTCTCACAATCTACAACTCGCTACAGCCCACGGAACCGCTCAAGGTGGAAGACCCAAATGCATCCGAAGCGAAAAAGTCCAAGATTGCCATTTTCAGGTTTGTGCAGGCGTGTATGAAGGAATTGCAAGTCCCCCCCGCCCAGAGTTTTGTCATTACAGATTTGATGGGAAACGACACAAGCGGTTTCGTCAAGGTTACGCAGGTCGTCAACTACGTGCTTGATCTGGCAGAGCAACGTGGCCTGTTGCTACAGCTTCAACCTTACCCCGAGGACGAGCCTGCCGTCGCAACAGGGGGCGCGCAAATGAGCTACAGGGACCACATTGTCAAGGAACTGGTTGATACCGAGCGAAAATATGTCCAGGACCTGGAAAACTTGCACGACCTGAAAAAGACGTTGGAACAAAAGGGACTTATCCCAGGAGATGTTGTGCACCAAATCTTTCTCAACATCAACGCGATTCTCGACTTTCAGCGACGATTTCTCATCCGAGTCGAAACGACAAACTCCTTGCCAAAGGCCGTCCAGCGATGGGGTGCCCCGTTTTGTTTCTACGAAGATGCCTTTGACATCTACCAGCCCTTTATCGCCAATCAGCGCAAGGCTGCTCAAATCGCCAACCAAGTTTTCGAGAAAATTCAACAATCAGAGCACCCTGTCGCCGCAGACTTTAACACCTTGGACGGATTTTTGCTAAAACCTATGCAGCGATTGGTGAAATATCCATTGTTGCTCAAGGACCTCGCCAAAAAATCGGAAGATGAGGAAGTCAAAGACGATCTAAACACGGGATGTGAAGCCGCGGAACGAGTTTTGCTCAAAGCCAACGAAGCCGTAAACCGGGACCTTCTTGATGAAGCTCTGGAGGAACTCATCACTCGAGTAGACGATTGGAAGTCACATAAGGTGGAATCATTCGGCAAGCTACTCCTGCACGGTGTGTATGGTGTTATTACTGGCAAGAGTGATCAAGAGAAGGATGTACGTAATGGCCCCATTCCATGTTCGCATCGGGAGAAACTAACCTTCTGTTGATGCAGTATGAAATTTACCTTTTTGAATGCATCTTGCTGTGTTGCAAGGAAGCCTCTGGCAAGAAAGACAGGACGCGATCCACGGGGCCCAAAATCAGGAATAAGAACGCAAAGCTTCAGCTAAAGGGCAGAATCTTCATGACTAACGTGACTGACATTGTGTCCCTTTCAAAACCTGGTAGGTGACGCGAACACTAAAAGGGGTTGACTGATTGCGATTTTTTTTTGTTGGCTAACCACTCTAGTAGGTTCTCACAGCGTTCAGATTTGGTGGAAGGGTGACCCTGGTGTCGAGAATTTCACGATCAAGTTCCTTAACGAGGAGACAATGAGGAAATGGGCAGGCGGATTAGAGACACAGAGAAAAGAACATGCGCCACGGCTCTCCACCAGCCAAGAATCCATCAACAACGACTTTGCATGGACCAGAGACCAAGCCGGCGGCCTTGAGAACCCCTATCTACTACAGCAGGACGAAGAAGACGACGAAGACTATGGGCCAGCAACGGCACCGGCCCAGTTTCCAATGCCTTCATCAATGGGCACCGCCGTGCCTCGAACCGCTTCAAGCTCCAGTCTGAGACAACGTTCTGCCACAGGGGAGAGCACACAATCCCTTGCAGGCATCGCAAGAGCTCCACCGCCGCGTTTCCCATTGCCTATGCCGCCCGCTCCCCTCAATATACAGATCCAAGGCAATGGCGCCCCATCTCCCGGCTCGAGGGGAGGAGACAGCTACTTCTCCCCAGTGGCCGAGTCTCCAGCCTCTTCTCGTACAAGCACCACGAGCGGCATCTTCCCTGGGCCTGCTTATCAGTTCCCCCCCAAGGCCGGTACACCACAGGCCGTTTGGGACGACCCGCGTTACTCTCCTTCAATGCCACGGGCCCCGTCACGAGATGGTTCCTCCCCCAATCCAATCGGCATGGGTAGCAGGACCGCTCGTGGACCTTCTCTGCCCGCAATGGCCACCCATAGTCAAACTGCGGCTCAGCAACAAAGAAGTAGGTCTTACAGCACACCGGATGTCAATGTTGCAGGTATCCCTCGACATCGTCAACCGAGCCAGGGTAATATTCCAGCCGTGCCTGGCATTCCTCAGCACTTGCACCCAGCTCATGACGGCAGCATCCCGCGATCGCAAACAGGCTCGCCTCGCAATGATTTACCAATTCGAACCAGCACACAAAGCCCGGGAGCCCAACGTGAGCGAATGCACCAGCACTCGGGAAGCCTCGGGGGCACGATGTCTCATTTTCCTCACCAACAACCCTATCCGCGTGGAAACACACCCACAGGCGGCAACGGTTTGCGAGTCGACTCTGCAACTGCGAATTCACGCAACGTGTCCCCATCCCTCGGTACGGCGACGCTCCCTCCGACCGGCAACCCCGTGGCGAGTCCAGATTTGCCCATGCCCACGCAGTTGAAGGTCAGGGTCAACTGTGATAGCGGGAACTATGTGACGCTCGTGGTTGCATTTAATATCACCTATCAATCCTTGATCGATCGAATTGACGCTAAACTTGCACGATTCATGACGAGCAGCATTAGCAAGGGTATGCTGAAGCTCCGGTACCGTGACGAAGATGGCGACTTTGTCACCATTGAAAGCGATGACGATATTCAGATTGCCTTTATGGAGTGGCGCGAAGGAGTCCGAAACATGTATTCCGGCGGCGTTGGAGAGATAGAGCTCTTCTGTGTTGGAGAAGGCCAATGAGACTGCTACGTCGCAAATTGGCCTTGTTATTCTCAATGGGCGTCGCACGAAGTTACTGAGAGCATTTACCGACCACATTTAGCACGAGTAGGCGTTCAAGAACATGCCAGCATTCGCAATCTTAGCGTATAGAGCCCCTCTCGAATTCCGAACGACGACTCCAAACACGGACAATTCTTCCCTACTCTGCCCTCCTTCGCCCGTTTTCCAGCAAGATGAACATATTTAAACGGCATCGCAGCGACTAGTATGGCTGCACAGTTTTAAACTTGACTGGGAGTTGATTTGTTGATGTTGGACGCGATTCTGAGTCTTGATCCTGACCTTTTTTCTTATCACTTTTTTTTTATTGTTTGGACTGCCACAGCCTGTTTCGCGACAGTGTGTCTTCTTACCTTGGCCGAACAGCAGACTTTGTTGCCTCAAGGTTGCTTGCATGTGGACTCGGTCCATTTCATTGGATGTTCTGTAGAGACATTGGTACCGCAAGGCTGTAGCATGGCATCATATTCTCATCTTTCGGGCAAATTTTATGGACATGATTTATAGGCGCTACTGGGAGGTTCGCGGAGCCAGGCATTGGAGGCTGGGCGCATCCTGGGTTTCACTCTTTTTTTCTTTTTTCTATTTTGGTTTGAAAGTATATACGGCCACACACTCGTTTGGGATTGTATTTTCCTGTTATTCCCCCCCTGCCTTCTGCCCCTCCTCCAACCTCGGTTTAGTTCTTCTTCCTCCTTTTCTTTTTTGGCGCTCTATGGACACTGAGCTGGATTTTCTTTTGTTGGCGGCTGCAAAGCTGGATAGACAGACGGTGGCATGGAGAGCTGGAACAGTTTGGGGTTGTGCATAGTAGACGTGGAATTATGGAGGGAATGAGGCTTCTCAGCCAAGTTACATAGATACTGATTCAGACACTTGGCTGTTCTGATGAGCGATTTAGAAGTTTGGTGTGAATGAAATGGTCACGGATGTTACAAATAGTATGCCAAGCCCGTAGTCTTGTACAGCTGTGATTTCCCTGGTGCTCCATGATGTCGACGTCTATCGTACACCAGCCGTCAGTGGGCCGTTTGCTCCCCGTACATCGTACATGTATAGTATTTACAAAAAAATTGCCAATGAAAACGCCGTGAAATGCACAAGGTCCATGGGACCAGACGCATATGTATGTACTCGATCAGTCTTTTTTGCCCAACCCCCCTTTCTCCTTTTCCCCAATAAACGCGCATACAGCCTTCTTTCATGATTTGATAGCCGACGCGGAGTCTCTACTTTTGCTTCCGCGGACTCGTGACGTGCTTCTGCATTCTCGAGAGGTGGTAGTTGACGGTATTCGCGGGCGCGGGCGGCGGCGCAGGCCCGTCCATGCATTTCCGGAGCTGGTTCTCGATGGCGGCGCAGCCCGAGGCGTTGTAGCCCGCGGAGGCCCAGCACGCTGCACTTGTTTGTAAGCACTACGTGTGGGCAAAAAAAAAAAAGGAAGGGGAGGGGGGAAACGTACCGAGCACGCTGGACATTATTGCGATGCAGGGGTTTTCGGGCTGTCGCTTGGGGTTGTGCACGCGCAGGGTCTTGAGGGGCGGTAGACGGATGGGCTTGTGGCCGCCGGACATGGTGTCTGTGGTGAGGGCCGAGACGGGAGCGAGTCGGGAGGGGGGGGAATTCGTGATGCGATGTCGCGTGGTGGCTGTTCGTTGTTCTTGGTGTTGATGCAGCTCTGGGAAGATTTAGCTGCTGGGGTCACGTGATACAGCGGATCGTGGGGCCACGTGATTTGTTTTGATGTTGGAGCTATTCTCGCTCTGGGGGATGATTTATTGAGTAATTATGACATTTATCGCTGCTTGATGGTAGGGTAGTTGGATTGTAAAGCGTGGTTTGCTATGAGGGTGCGTCGGGTTGGTGTTTTGGAGACAAAGGTGAGAAGGATGGTTTTCATGCAGATGGAAGAGATGGTTCAACACCACCGCGCGTACCATTCGAAACAGGAGAATCGCTACAAATAATGGCAAGTATACCCGAATATGGGCCATGTGATTGTCCCATCTCGTCTTGTGAGATGGCTATGTTCTTGGCCGCCAGCTCGCCGGCGCCGATGCCTGAGCCGGGTGTTGCTGTGGAGGCGTGGTTGAACATTGGCTTGGCATGTTGTGAGATGTTGTTGGACGGGGGGGAAGGTGCGAGGGGAATATTTACCTGGCTGAAGTTGATAATATGGGGGGTTTTTTTTCCTTTCTTTTTTTTAAAATCCTTTTTGGAAGACGTCGCGTCTATCCGTTGGTCTCGATGGCGTGTAAGTGAGGACAAGGCGGGTGTGCATCATACCCTTGTGAACATTTACATTCCGGCCACGGAGGAATAGATGGCTGGATCTGAAATGCGGCTTGCATCTGGACTCTGTTGGATATTTAATACGATTCTGGCATTTTCCCCAAGGTAGCATCTCGGCTGAAGTGACTTTGATGGCGTCGAGATGCACGCGTTGGGGTCAGACCAAGGCCACAAGTTACACCGCTTCATAATCTTGGAGACGAACTAACTTTTCTTGTTGGATGGTGTACGACTAGGGCTAAACAGCTAGTGTCTAACTAAGTAGCAGGGTAATTCCTGCAAGAGATGCCCCCAAGCCTCCCTGTCCAAATGCCACACCTGGAGATGGCTTCCGATATGCTCGGGAGACTCGCCCCATCCAAAACCAGCGGGTAATAAAACATAGGAAAATGTAATAAGGATAGAATAGTAGAGGGACCAAACATGTCCTCGACTCGCTCCAAAAGCCAAGACATGAGACATGCCTTAAATAGCTCTAAAGCTGTGACATCTTATTCTCCTCGTGTCCATGTGCCTTGGTAGGTGAAGGCCTTTTGGTGATCTTGGGTCCCTGTTCCAGAGTAATAGTAGACGAAGGCATCTCGGTGACCCTGGTTCCACGTCCCTCAGTAACAGTAGACGAAGGCTTCCCAGTCTCCTTGGGACCTTGTCCCTCGGTAGTAGTAGGTGAAGGCTTCCTACTCGGCATGCTCGGGCACACAAATACCCCCAAACCCGCGGGATTCTTCTCGAAAAAGGTTTCGCAAGGGCCGCAGCACGGAATCAGTGGAAGCATGGGCCTGGGGAAGCGGTTCGTGCTAGCACTCGTCTTTGGAAGTTGAGGGCGCACTGGCTCCGTCTTGTTCCTGTTCAGGGTCGGGTCTCCAAAGATGAGCCAGCGCTTGGAGTTCTGAACCGTGATCCCCTCGGTGGTCTGAGGAACGCCCCTGTATTTCTTGTGAGGTGGGATCGAGGCCGTTTCGGTGGGCTGTGCGGCAACGACTTTGTAGTAGTCGGCCGGGTCGCGATGAGGCACATCGGGGACGGCTGCCTCGGTCTGGACGACGGGGGCGGCGTCGGTCAGAGCGATGGCAGAGGTGACTGCGACAAAGACGGCGAATCGCATTTTGGAGGAGTTGATGTGTCTTGCAGTTTAGATGCAGAAAAGATATTTGTATAAATTGGGAATGCTGCTGAGAGCTGCGGGTTTTGTGTATATAAGAGATGATATTCGTGGGTGGGTGAAGGATGAGTGAGATGATGTTCTTTTTTTTTTCTGTTGGGGGACGTGACATCCTTTTATGTGATTTCTTCCGAGTCAATCAGCTGAGAGTAACATGTATTGCCTTTGCCGATGCGTATTGGTGAAAAGGTTGTGTGTCTCTATGTATCAGTATAGTTTACATGGACTGCAACGGCGTGAGAATCTGGCGCTCGGCGCTGCTTCGGAAAGAAGACAAGTACACTTGGCCCCGCGGCGGACACAAGCCAGAAAATTATAGCCTCTTGCAACATGCTTGGAATAAACATTAAGTTGGATTAGACTAAGAACTTGCAGTGGGATGGCGGTGGCTTCACCACCGGTCCAAGTAAAAGCGCAACACGTACGCGGCCACCACATGTTGGCTCAAAGGTTGTGGACGGCACGGCAGATACTAAAACTGGATAGGGGAAGCGTATTGGGCAAGCTAATAAGACTTACACAAAGCAAAAAGGATAATTCTTTTCTCATCTTTTCCGGGGGCATCGTGGCGTGAGCTTGTTGAATAAAACTACGAGATGAAACCTTGCGTAAACCTTGGCACATCTCGGCAATGACCGGGCCCTTTGTCAAAGACAGCATAGCATGTCTACCAGAGCACCGTCTTGTCTGACTGTATGACAATGCGAGCAGGCCTTCTTTCCGTTTGCTTTAACTCGGTTACTCGGTTTAGACCCTAGGCGTCACGATACGAGACACATTGTTGACTCAGCTGCTTCACAAAGACATTTTTCTTCATAGTCTGCAGCCATGTTTCTTTACATGCCAAAAATTCTCTTTGATCCGAATCTGTTTCGGTGTCAAGTTTGGTCATGAATCATGGTGACCGACGCTATGATGACTAGAAATTACACCAAGTTTGCTTGTTCCAGTTGCGAATTGAGCCGCAATGGCTCGGGTCGCCGTTGTCATGAACCGGTATTGATAGGAGCTTGAATAGCCTTGACGTTATAGTCTTGTGGCCACGTACATGCGCTCCTTTGCCTCCAAGCTTTCACCCAGCCGCCTTGCTCTTGTATCTGCCACGGTGATGACTTTGTGATGCTGGCCCTAACGTTGCTTCTAATGTCCTGTCATCAACGGCAAAGGTAGACGGCTTCATCACAACACACTCGTGTTTTCGTTGTATCGCGAGGAGATTCACTGTTGGCGTCGTGGCGCTGTTCTAGTTGATCCTGCGGATTGAAGATGGCGTCTCTGCTGCTGAGCTCGTGAGACCCCTTCTTGATATTGTTGGGCATGGGTGTACCACTTGGACCAAATTCGATGAAGTCGGAAATATGTCATTTTTCTATCTTCTTGGTTCATGATGAAAGGAAACATTGGAGTTGGTCACCAACTACCGCTGGATCATCCGGGAAAAGGCCATAATGAATTCTGCCAGGCGCTAAGAATTGTGCGTCACTGAAGCGCTCGATTAGGAACCTCTTGATAATATAGGAAGTCGTAAAGATCCTGCTGATGCCAGCGCTTAGAAGAAGTTTCCTACATTACTGCCGTTCGGTGTTGGAAGCCCGGCGGCTGGTCGACGAAGCCATCTTGGGAGCAAAAGGCAGCGACGCATGGTCTCTTCTCATCTCGAATCATGGGACGTGGAATGACGTTGCGTTGAGACACCATGGCGGCCGGTTCGCATCCATCATGTTCAACATTGGCGTGCGGTCGAGGAATCGTCGCCGCAGCATGTTGAGTGTGACGGGGAAGAACTTGGGCAAGGTTGAAGCGCATTGTATGGTCTGGTTCCTGGACATCATGCGGAGAGGCTAGCGGCGGCTAGCGGGGAGTCGGGGACTGAAGCTAGCGTCGATATGGTCTGGTTATTACCGACAGCCTACTTAGATGTGACATGCAGTTTGGAGCTCCGCCCAGTATTGACATACATATTCTCTTCTCTTAATGTTGATCCAAATGTCCTTCTATCGCATGTCGACGTCTGCCGCTTCCAGCAAAGGGCCCTGTCCGGCAGCCCGACGGCCTCAGATATCCACAGCCGACTCTGCAAATAACAAAGGCCGTCAAGACATCTTGACCAACAGCCACTTTGGAACAAGCCTGAACTAGTAGCTGCCAGGCAGGCAGGTCTTCAGATGGTCATGTCCTACAATGCCCGGACGTTGTCTTCACGACCAAGTCAGTCGTACACAACCAATCAATACATGATTCAGTACAGGCTCAAGACCTCCCGACCAAGAAAACCCCAGCCCCATCACCACCATCCCATCACAAGCCTCACGTGTCAGCATCCAAGTCATTACTCGTTCTGAATAGGCGCAATCCGCCTCCCTCTCCGTAAATCTCGCAATCCACGCCTAGATTTGCAAACCAACGAGTCGCATCTCATGATGCCGCTTCCCACAATACAACCGCAAGCCCCTAAACACAGCCATCCGCCTGCCATTCTCCCTATTCACCCAACGCGCCGCACCGACTAGAGAATGGCACACAATACCCGGCAACCCCGAGAACCGGCAGCCACCACGTTTTCCTCCAAGCCATCGAGAGGACAAGGTGGGGTGGGCGGTAGTACATAGTCGAAATTCCGCCCAGCCTTGATGCTTGGCCTATCATGGCTGCTTATTCCGACGGCGCAAAGTTTGTATTTGGAGCTTGAGCTATGAGATGTGTCGGTATGGCGTGCCAACACACGTGGCTGTGGTGGGTGAAGATGGACGAACGAGGGGGGCGACTTTTTTTTTTTTTCCCGCGGAATACTACACCAGATTTTTTTTTAAAAAGAAATTTATACGTACTCCTGACGGAATAGTCATGTCAATGACGTCGTAAACATGCCTCAGTATTCTAGACCCCAAGGCCCCCCATGTGCAGACTCCTTTCCGGGTCAAGTACTTTTTACCTCTACGGTTGATGCATGGCAAAAGGCAAATCATGACACCAGTCACTGGGAAACACAAATCAAAATAAAACTTATGGTATTCCTGCCATTCAGTGCCGACACCCTGTCAGCTGTCAATGCACCCTCCGTGACAAATTTGTTATCCTGAGCCACAATGCAATGTACATGCTAAAGCGAAAGTAATTCGAACAAAAAAAGAGGTCCCCAAAACTCCTAGTGAGTGCGCATTCTCCCCTCTATACAGAATTAAGCGTCTCTGATGTCAGAGCTATCCAAGTTCGCCATCGTGTATTCGTCGCGAGTTTGAATGGGTATAAGAAGTCTATCGTCTTGATGCGGTGATGCGATGATGTAGAATTCAGCCAAGGGTGGGCTTGAAGCCGTATAATTGTGACGTCTTGGCTCCGGGCCATGCCATCCACTTTTACGATCCCAAGTTCGTCCCGTGAAGCTCCAACTTGATATGCATAGGATAAAAAGAGTCCAGAACTTGAAAGGTCTTTTCGCGCAAGGTCCTCACTGTCCGTGGTTCTTGGATCCCTTGTAATGTCTCCTTACGCGCTCGCGGCCTCGTCTCTCTTCATCCTGGCTGTGCTCGGCTCTTCCATCGTCGCTTCCACTGCTCAGTCGTCGACGGTCTTCTTCATACCACGCGCTCAGTGATTTCCCACCAAACATCAAGTCCTCGTCGTCAATAACAATCGGTTGTATCCACGCATACGAGTCGAGATCGACCTCGTGGGCAGACGTGTCTAGGGCACGCATGTTGGGAACGAGGTAGTAGGTAGGTTCCTGTTTGGGCGACATGGTAGTGGAGGATGTGTGAGGCTGGGTCTGTGGTGGCGACGTGGGTTGCGTCGCGTCTTGGTTCGTCGCGTCTTTGTGTTGTTCGTTGGTGCGCTGGTCGTTGATGGGGAGCGCCAGCGCGGAGGCAGTAACAAAATATCTTCTTTGTGTGTAAAGAAGATATTTTTAGAATGTGCGGGATGGTTGATGTTTGAGTCAAGGAGATGAGATGAGATGGAAAGGAGATGGAGTCTTTGTTATATCGGGATCGGAGTTGGATTGTGGTGGGCCCCGAATTAGTCAAGCTGGAGCTCAGAGGGGCAAAATTAACGAGATTCAGTAAACAGACGCAGCAAATTGTGGAGACCTGAACCACAACGCCGGGCTGCGGAACGAAAGCGTCGTATTTAAGTCTCAGCTGAAGCAAATAGACTGCCTGCGTGCTGAATTCAATATTTCAGCTGCAAGCCCGACCGCGTGTCGACTCCGGGGATTTTCTTTCGAGGTTGAGAGTTGAAGCAACCCCCCAAAAGAAAGGACAGGGGGGATTTGAGATTTTTATCAAGAAAAAAAAGCAGTCCGGGCGCCGGCACCGGACGAGTCATGAATATGTGTGAGCGTCTTTTTGACTCTCAACGCTGCGACCTTCGGCCAACGGTGCACAAGTTGCGGCGGTGGCACCGGGACCAGTCGGAACAGGGATAACAGCAATGTTGGGGAACGTGTCAGAGAGCGGAGTGAGATGGGGTGTGGTGGAGGGCTGGTGGCGCTGGTGAGAAGCCAAGTGGGAGCTCCTACTCATGCGGTTGCGTTGGGTGCGCCGCGAACTTGGCAGGACGGACTGATTCCGACACTCTGGCTGGCGTACGATCGTGAGGTATCGATGGGCATGTCGAGCTGGCCGAGAGGCTGTTGATGATTTCGGTCACTAGATGCTTTAATTTGAAGTGCGCAGGCACAAGTACTTTCGGGATGTGATGCAGATGCAAATGCAAAAGGGGGAAGGAAGGAAGAGAGAAGTTAGACGCACGGGGCCCCGGGGGGGGAATAGGAGGAAATAAATGAAGCTGGCATGCGGCTCACAAGACAGCTGGACCGCAAGATTTCGTCACAAGGCGCAAAAGATGAGTACACGTAGAATAATCGCCTTGCTCATGGGGCGGAGGGTTTGGTCAAACCGACTCAGATGTAGGTCTGCCTGGTCTGGAGCGAGAATAGCGGCTCGGAGGCTGGAGGCTGGAGCAATCTGGACTGGGGACTTGGGTTACGTCGATCCGGGGCTTGGCGGGGCGCTGCCTTGGGACCAGCAGGAAGGAGCCACCGACTTGAGGGGACACAGTGCCGGGGGGGGCGAGTCCCTCCGGGCCAGCATGTACCTCGAAGCCAGGTATCTTTAGTCCTTTGCAACCAGGCCTTGCTCACTCGAGAGCTCTACAACCTGACTTCAGGATGCTGGGCATAAACGGCACTGTGTGCCGGCCGGACGTCTTGGAGGTAGGCAGGCGGGCTGCCTCCAGGCAGATTCACGGAATCACAGGGCTGAGCGAGCTGCCACGAAAGGCCTTTGGGTGAAGGCTTCCCACGTATGGTGCCACGCAGGCAACATTGAGATGGAAGAACGGTCACAGTCCAGAACGGACGAATGCGGCGTACATTGCATCCTGGTACTCGGTACCTTTCTACTGTTGGTAGCTTTTGTCATATTTGCCTCGCATCGCTATTACCACGCGGTATCAAAGTGTCTCGACTCTCCAACAAGCAGCCAACAGGTATCATCTCTGCCGTCTCCAGAAACCCATCTGAATGCCCAGTAGAATGCGCCGAGCATCGTCACATTTTCTACGCAGTACTTTGATGGCAAATACGACATCAGGCAGCGATAGACGCCTCACTTCTCTCGTCCTCTCGCTCTCTCTGGGTGTGTACAGTGTGCATGAGGACGGACCAACAGCCTCATCTCGCGACTCTGCCAAACTCGACTGCCACAGAGGGCAAGTTGTCGTTCCGCCACTCTGCCACGCTGCCATTCTGCCCTTCAGTCATTTGTGTCGGCCTTCTTCTATTGTAAACTCTCCTCGTTGGCACCATGTGGCGCAGCTCAAAGCGGCAGCTGGCGGCTTCTAGCCCGGCGCCCGTCTGTTGCGGCCTGCCAAACGAGACATTCCGACGACAGTGGTGTCTCGCCCGTAGACTCGATTGTCTCGGTTCGCCGACTACCTAGTAGTACTATTGCCTGGCTGGCTGCGTGAAATCTGTCCTACTGCTCACCTCAGCCATCAACTTGGACGCCCATATTACGTGGATTTACGTCGACGAGCCTTGACAGCCGCGTCAGATGCTGTGCCACCCCAGTTGGGCTCGCTTCTCAACATGATGAGCTGCGAGGCTGCTGCCGTCCTGCTGCCGTCAGCTCACCCTTGACCGCTGACAACACTCCATGTCAGATTGCTCCATGCGTCTGCTGCAAATGTACAAACCTGTCTCGTACTTCGTTTGTCAGCCGACAGGGCTGAGAGTCTAAGACTAGGATCACCGCCCATGGCCACGATCTGGGCTAGTTTGTGATGCTGCAATAGTGAACATGGTAAAGAATGATATTCCGTTCATCTTCGTAGCATCTTGTTCGCCCTTGTCGTTGCATCTCCATCTCCGGCTTCCTAATCTAGCCTAAAGACTTTTTTGACTACAGGATTCCCCTGAGTCACAAACTCCCTTGCTTGCATCGCCACCGAGTCTACCATGGCCTTTTGGCACCCCGAGACCCCTAACACCATGCATCTTGCGGTGGAGCGCTAGAGGATTGCCAAACAACGCATGGCTATTTGTCCGGGTCGTGCTCTGTCGTTGCAATTAGCCGCTCGTCTTGGTGATCTGGTTTGCGCATGTGCTGTGTGCCCATTGGGTGTCTTGCGGGGGGTCAGCGGATGGTGGACGGGAGGGGGGGCAGCGGAGGCAGGCGATAAAACCACAAGATACGGTGCATGGGGGCAAAGCGCCGCAGCCGCCGGACTTTGACAGAATACGGGTCTCAAGCAGAGTGCGTATGTATGTATTTTTTTTATTCCGGGGTCCTTACGAGTTCTCGCGTCGATCTGGATGCAGTTTTGGAGCTGTTGTGTTGATCATGGCCAGTTGGGTGGATGCGACCCGGACAGAAACATCTGCAACCTCGAAGCTGGGCTGCAAGCTGCACATGCAAAGAAGCCCTAGACGACCAACTTGACACAACGATGCGGCTCTGCAGTCAAATGCGTACTATCGCGTCCTCGACGCCACACTCCGAAGCTAGGCATCAGCGGGTGCGCAGATGCCCATCTTGCCACACATGGCGCGGTGCGGACCTACCGGGAACATGAACAGTTGACGAGCAAAGCAAACAGGCAAGCTTTGCACGGATTGAACAAACCAAATGGGAAAAGAAGTAGCAGCACCTCCATCCTATCGCATCATCCTGCCAGAAGCCATGGCTCTCTTTTCGGAACCATCCAGTATGGCACCGTTTGATATGCACAGTACGGAATGCTACGGGTCCTCGGCAGGGTTCCCATGTCCCGCCGTGTCAAAAGGACATGGCTTCACGGGGCTCGTGACTTTTGCTAGAGGCGATCGGCTTGTGAAGTACGGCAGCGCAGATACTTGCTAGGTCGGAACATTACGCCCAAGTGGATTGTGGAATAAAGGCCGTCATGTTATTCCTCTGGAGTGACTGAGCCAGTCACATGGTCGCACCAGCCGTCGACAATGCAACATTGAACCTTGACATTTTCATGCGCCGCTGTCGTGCAGCTGGGGGAATATACCACGTTCTGCTCGGGACCATGGACCGAGGCTGAGATTAGACTCCAAAAGACACATCTTGACTCGGCACCGAGAAGCCAAAAAAAAAAAAAAAAAAAAAAAAAAAAAAAAAAAAAAAAAAAAAAAAGAGTTACTGGTACCTCTGGCTTGAGTATCTTGAGTTCAGGTATCTACTTGCCCCTCCCCCGCCTTTTTCTTCCACCTCTGGCCCCGTCAATGACCCTTGTTCATATCCATGCAAACCATATTCCTTCATCGCACCAATGCCAACTCTGTACAGAGACCAATGATAGCTGGCAGTACTCGGTACATGTGCTAAAAATTCGCAAGCTCGAGTACAAATGCCAAGGCAGCTGGCCACCTACCTACTATATCTAAGTACCTACAGGCCCTCGGAGATCCGGGGAGCATCAAAGTCGTCTAAACCAGTGGGAGGGCTTGGCTTCCGTCTTTGTCGGCCCTTTCGTGTCACATTACGGGTCAACGCCGTCATGATTCCGATTAGTATCAATGTTCATCAAGAATTCCCATCCCAAGATACGGGTTTCTTAAAACCCACGCGACGGCATGACGACAGGATTGACCGTCCCGGCTTGCCCAACGCGGAAACCTAGTGCCGAGTGTGAGCGGCAAACTCGTCATGTGTACAGTGTGACTGGACCCTTTTAGGCCCGTATGCCCGTATTTATGCCCGTATTTATGCTTGGTGGGATTTTGCTTGCATGCTTCTTATTCCCCCACTGTTTTGTCCAGTGGTGTTGCGCTCCGCCTTTTCGCCACGTTTGGTGGTCGCGGCGAGTGATGTCATCGACGACCGACAAGGAGGCCACGTTCAAAGACCTTCTGTTCAGCGTGCTCTTTCTTAAGCTTCTCCAACCATTACGGCTCGGCGTCAAATGTGTTACAATCCTGGGCTCGACTTCCATCTTCATATTACAAATTTGCGCAGAGAAGGAGCATTTGAAGATTGTGCCACCAGCACTGATGATTCCTGCCATGTTTGAAGGTACGACATGCTAGGAGCCACGGTCGAGTCGACTGCGACTACCCAATGTGTTGACGGCCGGAAGGCTCAACGCGAGGTTTTTTAAAAATGGCAGCCGCTCATGTTATTAAAAGTATCAGACGTAATGCTTCAATGTTTGTCAAGCGCGAACGTGAATGACACCAGACGTATTATAACCACTGGAGCGTCTTCCATGCCATCTTCTCCAAGTTCTCTTCTTGCATCATTCTCATCTGTCATATGCTCCCAGCACACAATTCTTCTTAGAGTCTGTCATACAAAACAGCCAAAACAGAGCCCGCATCTTCCTTCATTCTTGAAACCGTGTACACAACGTCATTCAACATGGTGTGTGCTGCTGCTCTCATCCTCGCTGGCCTTGCGGCCGCTTCTCCCATGGTCAGCCAGTCCGGCGGCAACTATCCAGCAAAGTCCTCTTCCCAGGGCTTTCACCTGGTCGTCAACAACACCGATCCGTCCCGCGAGCTTTCAGAGCCTGTTCACACCATGTTTCTTCAAAGCATTCATATCGGCCCTCCCAACAGTCTCTTTGGTACCAGAACTACCAGATCGCGGCGTGTCTTCTACCAAAACGCAACCGAGGATGAGCTCCGCTCTGGCAATGCTCATATCCTCTCTGACGCTGCTTCCCAAAGCATCACGTACGGCCTCAGCTTTCGCTTGGAAGGCGATGCCGCCCAAGGTTTTGTCTTCAGACTAGACGCCGGTCCAGGCCAGAAAGGTGTTGCCATGACCCCGAACCACCATCCTTGCGCCTTTCTCAATGTGCCTGGGCTGGCAATGTGCAACCGGCCTGTCGAGTATTACAGGGGCAGGAAGATGAATCTCCTGAAGATGTTTCCCAACCCCACCGGCAATCTTTGGAAGATGCCAGAGGAATGTACTCCCGTCCGTCTGCTGCCACAGTGCATTCCGCTTCCAGATGCCCCAAAGGGAGTCGGTCCCAGCCATGAGTTCGTTCAGACCACGCACTGCTACAAGAACGTCTCTGCCATTGACTGGTCCATGTACACACCTTGTGATCAGGTTCGTTGAGTGTTAATGGTGGGGAGAGATACTCGATGGTTTCACGATTGCACACGTTTCCTACTGGACTTGATGGTATAGACTTAAAGGCATCATTACATTAGTATTAATATACTCTGTTTTTCGTATAATGTTTCCTCGTGAAGCTATATATGTAGTGCAAAGAATGAAATCACTAGGCATCTGATTCGTTCAAGACAAAATACTCATTGGCAACTAGTTGGTAGAAAAGTGACTTACTGGACTGCAAATCACGCCGCCGGTCCAGAGTCCAGACCAAGGGGCGCTTGAGATCTCAGTAGATTGCCCTGTTTTTTTAAAAAAAAAAATCAAGTATCAATTCCTGGTTCTTTTGTTTTACGACATCCATGATGGGAGTGTGTGAAACGACTAGGTTTAAGCTCTAATCATACTGATCCCTATTTGTACAACTTTGAGTCTGGAGATGCTCTCAATAGAGCCCGGTAGCTTTGAAACTGGCTATGGTTCATGTAAGTGGTTGGGAATTGTGTGCATGCCACCCACTCTTGGCCCCATGAAACATGAAAAATTTGAGGATTTGTGCGACAAAGTCCATAATATCCTCCCAGAATATCTAGTTTCTTTTTCATGCTATTCCGACAATGAACAGCGGCAACGATGATGGCAGCCGAAAACGCAAACGTGATACATAGTACAGGGTACCCAGCTCCCAGCCCCACCCAAACCAACCAACCAACCAATCAAGTAGCCGCGCATCGGCGCGCTCCAACATCATTTGAACGTTCAACCTCATTCCATCTCAATTCATCATCACAGGGAAGCCCAGCCAGCTTTCACCCTGCATCACATCATCCATCAAAGAAAATCGCGGCATATACAGCCCGGTGGCACAGACGTCAACCACAATGTACGCCACGTACAGCATACTATCGCTGCTGTTCGTCGTGGGAGCATGTACGTGAAACAGTTGAACACACAACGCGTGCCCGGCACCCGCTAACCCCACGGTAGACATGCTCTTCACCGGCAGCGGCGAGTCCTTCAACGTCGGCGCCTTCCTGGAGTCAATCTCCCCGGCGGCCTGGGCGAACCTAGGCATCGCGCTGTGCATGGGTCTGTCTGTCGTCGGCGCAGCATGGTACGGACAACGGCGCGGACAAGGAGCTGACTTTTGACTGACTGTGCGCGCAGGGGCATCGCCATCACCGGCTCGTCCATCCTCGGTGCGGCGGTGAGGGCGCCGCGGATCCGCACCAAGAACCTCATTTCCATCATCTTTTGCGAAGTCGTCGCCATCTACGGCATCATCATGTCCATTGTGTTCTCGTCCAAGGTTGGCTATGCGACGGGCGCGGCGGCCTTCTCCGCCGACGCGTATTACACTGGCTACTCGCTGTTCTGGTCTGGCATCACCGTCGGCATGTGCAATTTGGTCTGCGGCGTGGCGGTGGGCATTAACGGGAGTGGTGCTGCTCTTGCTGACGCTGCCGATGCATCACTGTGCGTGGTTTCTTCATTTTTTGGATTTGGATTTGGGCCCTCTTCCCCCCCTCCTTCTCATCGTGCTTCCTGCTTCTGCGTGCTGACTTTTGTTGGCAGGTTTGTCAAGATTTTGGTCATTGAGATTTTCAGCTCGGTGCTAGGCTTGTTCGGTCTTATTATAGGTCTGCTTGTTTCGAGCAAGGCCAACTCGATGGACGGCAGTGGATAATGAATGACTCGGGGTTGAGTCAGCCGGCTCTTTTGTAAGACAAGGGCAAGGGTATGTATGGTATCCTGCGACATTGGCATCACTGATGAACTACGCGTAGCTGGGCAGGCTTGGAACAAAAAACACCAGAATATTTCACAACTTGGCACGGTCCGTCTCGCATTCGCGCCATATTCGTCGTGCTACTGATTACATCTGTGCACGGCGTCCTGTCCTCTGCGCGCGCCTTCTGTTTTACCCCTGCGACTCTGGCTCAACATGTGTGCCGAGTATATAACCAGGCATGGAAACGCGAGAGACTTTGATGACTTGTCGTGTGTTTACTGCGTGCAGCCATGCCGGGGACCCATGGCGCAAAACACCCCGTCTACAACAACCGAGCCCACGGTACAGAGTACACCAGGGCAGGGCGACGTGCTTTGGTTATGACTACGATTAGGGGGCCTGGGACCCAGAGTGGCAATATGATGGCTGTTATCAAGTTGCATGGTTTCCTCAAGCTAGCTTCATGGTTACAATTGGCTGCTGTAGATGTTACAAAATGCAGCAATACTCGTACATTTCTTCGTCAAACTCGTCACTCTTATCCTCCGTCACTATCGTCGTCCTTTCTCGTGGACTGCCGATATATTTCGGGAACCAAGGAATCTCACGGCTCAGTTTTTCCGGGGCTTCCCGCCAGTAAGGAGCAGAATGCAGGACATGTATCATGGCGTAAGAAGCGCGGTAATCTTCCAGCAGCCGGCGTAGTCTGATTTTCAAATCAGAACCTTGGTCTGCGGTACACCATGCCGCAATTGTGGACAGAGGAATGTGGTGTGCGCTCAACGGGAGCTGAGACTTGGATTTTTCCGCCAGCGTGGCGGCATCGGCGCAGAATGCGGCCCGGTCCTCTGCTAGTTGCCTGTCATCAAAGTCTCTGCCCGATGCGCGTAAAAAGGCATTGAAGTTGAGGCCGATGGCGATGTGAAGCGACTGTGCTTCCACTTGGATGGCCTGTATAAAGGCGTCGTGTTCTATTTTATCCTCGACGGCCAATTCATGCATGGGATTTGCATCTTTAACGCATCTTGGATAGGCGCGCCTGATCATGTTGTATATCAATTCGATTGATTGCATGTTTTCCCTCGGGCGCCGCAGCAGCTGCGGTATAATCAGGTACACGCTGATGTCAAGACAGTAGAAGTCGTACGGCCAGAGCGGCTTCTTCGTCTCGCCCTTGTGCCATGGCCGAGGCGCCACATGTCGCGGCTCGGCCGTTGCATCAAACACCTTGAATATCCAGGGATAAATGTGAATGTCACTGTTGAACACGCTTGACCGAAGCTATTACGTCCCTCGTGTCAGTGACTCTTGGGGGAAAAAGGGCTCCAAGGGCCGGTCATGGAACTGGACAAGAAGTAGCACTGGTGGTCCTGTACACGTACCAGTTGTATTGCAGCAAGCTTCAGAGCGTCATCGGAAAACTGAGCTTGATCTTGCAGTTGTACATCTTTATTCAACACGGCGGTGATCAAGTGCGCCAGCCCGTGCATATGGCCGCGAGACTCATCAGCACCGTCAACCAGCCACATGTGGCAGGAGGAAAGCACAAACACGGCGAGCAGGGTATCCCTCTGGTACCGGATGACGGGGTTATCCAAGCTCTCGCGAAGCGCGCCCAGAGCAGACGTGTACTTGTGAAGAGGCCCGGTGCTTGAGCGGCACAGTTGCAGCCGCGATAATGATGAGGATGATTCCACAGGCGCCAGGGACTCTACAATACCAACCAATGCCGCAAGAGACGCATCAAGCACCGGGGAGTGGCCAATGTGCTGGACAGTAGACTTCCTCACTATGGCACTTAGATTATATCCGGGATGACGGGCCTCAAAGAGTCCGACGATGGAGTCGGCCAGCTTGCTCGCGGCGTTGCTGGGCGGGCTGGCGACGCGCGAAGGAGCCGCGGCGTGCTGCTTGTTCACGACGGAGAGCGAGGCCGGCTGGTGTTTGAATCTAAACCGCTGCTGGCCAACCCCTTCACACGGGAGGTTCTTGCGGGCGCACAGCGAGCACTTGGGCCGGGCGCAGTCGCACTGGTTTGCACGATGGGCGAGGCCTCGGTTAGCCTTCTTTTTGGGCCGGGGATTATGGTGGCGGCATGGTATAACTACCTTTTTCTTCCATCTTCGACAGTTGTCACAGCCGCGATACGCCCCCATGGCTAATACCAAACCAGGGCCGGGCCGGTTGTTGGGGAGATGCGCGAGGTGGGTTGGGACGATTCCATGGATGACAAAGGCGACAGACAACCCCACGCGGTGGCGGAGGTTCGTTCCTTTTTTTTTTTTTTTTTTTTTTTTTTGACATGCAACTTGCAACTTGCAGACCCGACCCACTGGGCATCGGTTCAGAGATACGTATTTGTGTTGCATTTGAAGAGTCGGGTCTGGTTTGACAGGACTGCGATTTTTGGAGCAGGGTGGTATTGCAGGTTTCAATGTTCAAATGTTGCATCATGGCGTTGAGATGTGGAGGCAGCTAGAACTACTCAGGTACTTAGTATGTATGTACTTGAGGCAACGTGGATTGGTGCCTTAGGCCGTGACTCTCTCCATGTACTGTATTCACATGCAGGCTTCCATCAAGTTACATGAATCCTGCATCCTTGACTGAACCAGATGCCGCGACTTGGTGCAGCGAATAATGCCATCATCCCGAGTCCTTTGCAAAACAAGGCTGACGTGAGCGCGCAATGAACTCCGCCTGGCTTCCGTTTTGCCTCGCCACAGCAATTCTTAGCTTTGTAATGGCAAACTACGTACTACCGTGTTATATGTGGGGCTTCTTGTTCCGATGGAAGCAGAGGAACCTGGGGTAGAATAGAACGGAAGAATGTAAAACATGAGGGGATCGACCAGAGCCAAGGCCGCTCAACTGGGTTCAATATTTGGCAAGAGCGGAACAAGTGGATCTCCGCCCGGTACCCAGATTGACGGAATTCAGCACGTTTCCGCCGGTGCGCGGCCCCACCCACTGCCGGGCCCCAATCAAACCCGTTCACACCCACGGTTGATTGATAGCCATGAGACGTCTATGCAACTGTGCGATTACAACAAAATTTGCAAGAAAGCAGGGCCAGCCGACGGACGTCAAGGCTGAGTCGATGCAATGCGCCAAGCTTACCGACTGTATTGCAACTGCCGCGAGTTGCGAGGCAACGACGGCCCAGTTGCATCGAGCCCCCCCTTTGAGCATGTGGCAGTCAACCTTTCAGATAGCTGTCTTGCTGAACCGCAGCTCTGGTACGTGGCTTGGGAGCTTGTCCAAATTTGTGCTATACCACGCGGACTGGATTTCGGGCCTGCCGGCAGCCGCGCCACGATGCATCCCTGTTGGACAATTTGGGAATAAATGCCACCGCCCAAGAGGGCTGAGAGGGCTGAGAGGGCTGAGATGCGCATCAAGCTTTGCTGTGGCTGGACCACCGCGGATGGGGTCCTGAACCACAGCTCTGGTACGTGGCTTGGGCGCCTGTCCAAATCTGTGCTGTGCCGCTGGATTTCGGGCTTGCCGGCAGCCGCGCCACGATCCATCCACGTTGGACAATTTGGGAACAAATGCCACCGCCCAAGAGGCTGAGATGGCTGAGATGCGCATCAAGCTTTGCTGGCTGGACCATCGCGGATGGGATCCTGCCACCCTCAGGCCGATTCGAGGAACTATCCGTTGCGCACCCCCCGTTCCCCCCAGGCTTTGATTACATATTGGAAAAGAGGGGATGCCATGTGGAACACGTGGTTTTGATTTAAAGTTGGTGCCCCTCTCGTACTTGGGCAAATCAGGGAGCTCGCGCAAGGTCTGTGGTGGAAAGCCATTGACGTACGCCTCGTCCTGACCCACATGTTGGGTTTGAATGTGCGGAAAAACACCCGTCCAGCTGCCATTTACAACACCCAGGCCAAGGAAAGCGTCAATCCGTTGGGGCCAGTGTCGAGGCAGCGTGAGGACTCTGAGTTATGGGAGCGCGGAGCTGGCATGCCGGACTGACAAGGCACCAGCATTTCTGGTCTACAGTGTGGCGCACGGCTTCTCCAGATGCTGGCACTGGGGCTTGTGACGTCTGGCGTGCCACGCAGATCCACAACGACTAGGTTTTTTGGTGGCTCAGCCGTTCGTCAGAGATGGCGGATAGTTCGACATGTGTCGAAACCAGGCCCAAAGGAGAATAAAAAGAACCAGACCCTAGTTCGCCATGACCTGGCTCGTGCCCGTGTCTCCATCAAAGCATCAAGAGTCAAGACTGCTACTACGTACGTAGCATCCTCGCAAGTGCTGTCTTTTGGCATGACCTTGAGATGACTCGGCCCGTCCCTCTGCCCGATAACAACAAGGTCAAGGATCACCCCAGCTCAACCGACGCTACAGGAGCATCTGCATCTGCATCTGCATCGGCATCGGCATCTGCATCTGCATCTACGCACAGCAAACGTATGTAAAGCCCCCGAGACGAACAACCAAGCATGCAAACTAACCATGTCCCCCAGGCCACAGGTCGACCACCACCATGACGCCCGAACAGCTTGCGCGCAAGCGGGCCAACGACCGCAACGCGCAGAGGGCCATTCGCGCCCGGAGAAAGGCCCAGGTTTCGCACCTCGAGGCCGAGCTGGAGACACTCAGGAACAAGCCGCACGCATGCTGTCGCAAGCTGCTCCAGCGGAACCTGGAGCTCGAGTGCGAGCTGGCCATGATGAAGGGGAGCCCGCTGCCATGCCCGTCGGCCACGCCCGCACACACAGACGAAGGCACATCGACACACGCATCACCCGAGATGCACCGCATCAACTGCCAGCTCGAGTCGCCAACGTTCCCCCCCGGCGGCGACATGGAGGACTCCATGTCGGCGAGAACAAGCGCGGGTGCCCTGCTGCTGTCCCCCGCGGGCGGCTGCGACCTGGACTCGTCCATGTCCGGCGAGACCACCAGTCCGGCGGCCGTCATGTCGACGATATACCCCAAGTGCGGCCTGGAGAGCAGAGACGCGCCCCTGCAAGGCGCCGTGGCCGCCGCCTACGCCGCAGAGAGCATCAACGCCACATGCATGGCCAACCCGGGCCTCGACGTCGTCACGTGCGGACAGGTCTGCCCGCAGGCCAGGATACCCAGTCCCGCCCTGCCAGGCCTGTGGCCTGCGGGGACGCCGCCGTACGCCACAAACGCCGGCGGCATCATGGACGGCCTGGTACATGTCGCCCTCGAGGTTCCGTGTCAGAGCATGATGCCGGCGGCGAGCGCAATCCCTTCAACGCATTTTCCGCAATGACTCACGCACACGTCTCCGGGAGGAGAACATGACGAAGAATGAAATAATGTTGGCACATGGCCTGGTGTGCGCCCAACACAGCAGAACACGTCGTTGTAGCTGAGCGCAATGGTTCACGAAATTTGTATGGTGTAACGATTATTCATTTTCTTATTTCTTACCAGTGTTTTTTTTTACCCAAAAAGCGGCCGTATCGGTAGGCGTCCAGGGGGTTGGGAGTTAAGTCTTTGGAGATTGATGGCTTGGGGGCATTGTATAATACAGAGGCATGTCAAATGTACTACAAACTAGTCATGTGGAAATGCAATTTCGCAACTGGGACAAGAATGAATCCATCATCTCCGCATGCGCTTCTGGGACGACGCTCCATCACGTTTTGCATCCTCACCGGCAGGTTCAGTGCGCCGCGTGTGGCAGTCAGTAAAATGGCAACAGAACAGCCCGCCCCCAAGGACAGCCATGATCATGAATCACCATGTATTTACGGAGTCCACGTGCTCGGGACCAAGGTGGCTTAAGCCACTTTTCCACCAACTCATCAGATGCCTGGCGTGAACCGTCATGTCGGGACAGCCTCGATGACGCTCCTGTTTCTCCAGGATGGGCTGCCGCAATGCCTTGGACTCGGGGAAACATCGCCTTCGTCTGCGTCATGGAAGACATAGCATGCACGACACGGGCGACGACGACCAACTGGACAGACTGCAAGGCTGCCGTGACCAACACGGGGGCGAGGAAATGGAATACTCAAACCTACACAAACGGGTCTCTCTAGTGCCACTGTACCGGCAGCGTTGCATTTAAACCCAAGTGCCCTTACATGTCTAACTTTGCCAAGTGTTGCTGCACATTCCAGCCAGAGTATGGCAGGAGGGGGGGGTTACCACCTCGATGGTTCCAATGATACAAATGTGATATACAGTGTTTCCTTCAGTATGTCACGGTTCTCTGGTTTGGGCACGACCAGGCGCACGGTGCTTGCATAACTAGGCCCTACCTAATGCAGCGCCGGCACGAATATATTGCGACAGATTAAGAATCAAACAAATTAATAAAAACAAACATAATTCGATGCAGTCAACGGCTACTTCTGCGGATCTTTTCATCGTCAAAGATCCGCCACAACGCAATCCGCAGACGATACGCCGTCCTCGCACCCGCCATGAAGCCACGAACCACGGCCCAGTTTCGCATCATTTACGCTCGCCATTCACATATTCACAGCCGCTATTCGCAACCCGTCTGCGATAACCTCGCCCGGGGTTCCGTCATCAGAGCCATCATCCGCAGTTCACCCATTCTGGGTCTCGTTGCTCGGCCGAGTGACCGGGCGGCATGTTCCGGGACCCCATGTCCGCCATGGCCAGTCGCAAAAGAGCTCAACGTTGGGTAGCAAGCTTGGCTACGTTTTATCCGCTCGTCATCACGGCTCTCCTCACGGGTTCTATGTATGTACATACGTACGTAGAAAAATGTGGATATTGGTGCAACCTCGATGAAATAGAGTTTACGTTGAGGGGCAGCAGCAACTGACTGCACATGTGGAAACATGGCCGCGAGCTGGAGAAGTACTACTGCTACTATCTGGCACTGGATACATAGGGATATATGACCTTTGGCGTTTTTCTTGTTCAACGGGTATAGAAGCGTAGCGTGTTGGTGCGGCGAAGAACGACTGCCCAGCATTGAGGCCAGTCCATGATTCGGGTTTAGACTACTCCGTGAGAGCATCTTGTATACTTGGATGGGAAACCGCCCAGTACTTGCTCGTATAGTTTGCAAACACACACACAAAAAAACTTGGCAAACCAAACCGTCCTGGCTGCAGGAACGCAGCTGCCTGGAAGGGGGTTATCGAACCCGTGTTGATGAGCCATGTTCATTTGAGCCAAGTCCCAGGGCCCTGGAAAGCATGTGTTCCGAACCGTACAATTACCTGCTCGATTGGCCAATTACCCAGGTAGTTTGCCGGGTGCGCGATCAGATCTCGGAGACGACACCTGTGGCGCTCAAGTTCTGGTTGGCCGGTTGGTGCTTGGAAGCCAGTCACGCCGTTGCGTTTGTAGCACCAAGCTCCCTCCGCGCTGCATTTTATATTTCCCACGCGCCATCTTGGCCCGGGAGTCTCAACCGCAAGGGCTGCCATGATCTTGCAAAACTTTGCACAGACGCGGATGCACAGGGTCGCGGCCGCTCCGCCGCGGTCAATTCCAGCGTGGCAGCAGCCGCTGAAGCCAGGCGCTATGAATATGCGGCGATTATTTTTCCTGGTCGGGCTCAAGGCCAGTGTGTCGGGCGTAGGCTGAGCGGAAAAACACGACGAGAGAAAAAAAAAACCATGTCGTTCCGGCGCAGGAACAACATGAGATGCAATCGAAAAGTCGGAGCATCCGGGGCCATTGTGGTTCGACGTGATGCCGCATTAGCCCTGCCTGATTGGGAAATACCGACTCCCACACCCGGCACTTGGACGGGAGCACGGGAGCACGGGAGCACGGCAATTTGTCCGCCGTGGAAACAAACAAGCAAGCGCCCTTTTCTTTTCTTTTTTCTCTTTTTCTTCTTTTTTAAAAAAAATAAATAATACAACAAGACATGTGCAAACCACACGCGTGTAGAGGTGGCTTCGCGTCCTTCTTTTTCATGCAGCAATTACTCGCGTCGTGGGCTACATGTCCAAAGTATTCCAGCAGCGCCGCCTAAAGACTCCACCGCCGCCCTTGGGCCCAATAAATATCGAAATGTACGCCAGATTCCCGTGCTGTCAAGACGGAACGTGTGGATATGTTCACCCTGAAACAGAGTCAGTTTTTTTTTTTTTTCTCCTTTCCCTCTTCTCTCTTGTACTTGCATGTATGGCTTCTCCACTCCCGACCTTGAAAAAAAAAACACACACACACACACATTCACGGACGGATGTGCTCCCCTTGCCCCCCCCCTCTTCAATGTCACCCTCCCTCGTCGAGTTTGGCCTCCTGCCACCCGTAGCCTGCAGAAGGCTTGTCTAGGACCACAAGTGTCGGCGCAAAATCGTTAAAGTCATACCGTGTTTTGACCAACTCAGCGCTTGGTCTCGTACGAGCCGGGTGCAAAGGGGGTCGCAGTGTTGGCAACCTACATACGTGACGGCAATATCGTCGCTCGCATAAACACCAACGCGCAACCAAGGGGGAATGGGCTCAAGGGCGGATCTCTTGGGCCCTCATGGGGCCACGGGCATTGCAATGGACGTGCGTAGCAGTGACGGCTGGGGCAGCACATGAGCGTGGCATGGTGCTGTCCAAGCGGGCAAACAGGCAAGGAAGAAACTGGCCATTTTATATACGTACGTGACACCAGACCAACAAGATATCGCACGACGGCCGTGTTTTGAGTTTTTTTTTTTTTTCTCTCCCTCTTGCCCTCGGAAAACAAACTGTGACTGTGACTGTGACTGCGACTGTGACTGCAACGCTGTGACCCCCTACGACGCTACGACTTCCCATGGCCCTACAACATGCCAGCCAGCCATGCGCATCGATCGAGGACTCGTCATGGTACGCTGGCACTACCTTTTCGTTTAAAAGTTGGATGCCGTGAGGATCCACACGCGTCCCACTCGAGACATCGGATCGGCAGCCAGTTGGCGGCGGCCGACCAAGCATGAGGCCGTCGAGCTGATGAGGAAAACGGCTAGTCATGGATGGGACCGATTTGTTGAACGTTGACCCTTGTTTCTGTCTATAGAAAAACACTCCTGCCCGTTGTATGTACGATTGTGTGTATAAGAGACCCTGATCCCGGCCCGGGTTTGTTTTTCTTCTTGTCCCTTTGTTGTTTTTGTATTGTATCTGTGCAAGAGTTAGTACAAATAATCGTCGTGTCCGCCGTCCCTCCTCACATACGGGGTGGATTGACTCTTAACAACACCAGACAACAAGACAGACTGCACACACACTCACAATGGACTACCAGCCCTCTCCACGACGACTCTCGTCGTCAACATGCTCTATTGCGTCCAACTCGTCATGGACGTCTCATGACGAGTGCCCCCCGCTGGCGACGTCTCGTCGGTGCTCTGTCCGGTTCTTCACGTATCAGCACGACCGCAAACCGAGCACGTCGCCGTCGTCGGCTTCGAGCCGCAGCTGTGAAGGCATGAGCCAGAAGGAGACGCGCGAGCTATGGCGCTGCATGCTGCATCTCCAGCAGAGGTACGGGTGCTATAATTCCACGAGGATAGACCTGGCGGTGAATGCGGGCGAGGCGGGAATCGATCTGATGCGTAAGTGGTGTTGTTGTTGTTTCCATGTTATTCCCCTTGAATCCTGGATGCGATGCGATGGACTTGAATCTTGAAATGCTGCGTCTTGGCTTGCAGCCTCGGGCATGTCAGGCCACCTCAGGCCGCCACATGTGCAGGCTGGGCTGCGGTTCCTCCCCAGCCGTCAACTGAATTGATCAATCATTGATCGCAGTGGGGCCTCCGGTCCGTGGGCCCCAGCGGGCATCAACCTGACATCTGGGCACTGGGATCAATGACTGGCACTGAAGGCACCGCCCATTCCACTGCTGCAACCTGGTCCGTGGGCAAGGTTACAGCGGTCGGCCACCATAGCGGAGCAGCACATGCACTCACTTGAGCGCTCGAGACGTGCCGCCAAGCATTAATGCCAGGCAAGTGGTGCACATGTGTGGGGCCAGTGCCGCCACAGTCGATGCAACATTGAATTCGATATTGGAACACTGAACCCCAAACATGCCTCCCTCCGTGCGTCAATCAAGCTTCAAAAGCCAAGTCTCGAGTCTAGTCGGCTAACATGGGGTCCCCCCCTCGGTGCAGCCAACCCTTTCATCATCGATACCCTCAACGACTCCCTCATTGATCTTCCCCACGAGGGATGGGAGATGCTGGACCGCTGCCTGCGAGGCGCGAACAAGGAGCCGCAGACGAAGCCCAAGTCGCACAAGAAGCCCTGGCGCCGGACTCGAGTCGGCATTCCCGTCCACCACACGTCATGAAGACTCGCCGCCGCCGATGATTAATCACGCGCTTCTCTGACGTTGATTCATTGATTTTTTTTTTTTTGTTCTCCTTTTGCGTGTCATGAGCCCGGGGCTTGGGATTGGAGTGGTCTGGTCTGGTACTTTTTGGTCCGAGTCTGTGCGTGGAGTTGGGAAGGGAAGGAACATTGAAGCGAATGGTTTTCAGACCATGGGAGAATCAAGCCGACTCACTTTTTGGTTTTCCTCTGGTGAATTAATTTTGTTGGATAATGTCTGTTTTTAAAAAAAGCACTGCGATACCCCTTGAACTGAGAATGCATCACTAGATATTTGAATGGACAAAAAACATTCAGTTTGGCCCGTAATGACCCAACGTACACATCCAACCTCGCATCCAACCTCGCATCATGGCAACGCGAACCGAGTCAAGACCCGCCTGGGCCGGCTTACGAGGTCGCAATGTCCATCCATTTCCGATCACGGCCCAGCTTCAACACGCACGGCGAGCGAGCAAACCGGCGCCATGGTCCGTAACACCGTTCGCGGCGTCCTTTTTATTTCTTCACGTTCAACACATCGTCGTTGCCGAGTACGACAACACTGGTGAATTGCGTGCTGTCACCTCCATCATTTGTCAGCTTGGCACGGATGACAGGCAACCCGGCCGGTTCGTACCCCAGATTCATCGGCGAGCCACGTCATTTTTTGTCTCATGTGCTTGTTCGTTTCCTCCCCCGCAGTTCTGATCTTGCCGATGCACGGGCTTCCTGGCTTACCAGATGCGGTAATAGTAGTCTCAGTGCTGGCACCTGTACTTAGCATCAGACATGACGAGCCAGGGTAGCTTGTTTCCCGCTGTTTGAGTGCCGGACATGGATGCATAGTCTCACTGGGCGGGCGTCTCTTGGCTTGTAGGTCCCGATTGCGAGAAGCAGAGGCTGCGGGTTAAAGGCGCAGGTATATGAGAGGTACCTTGCTGGTTTCCGTTCGACGTGCTTTTGTTTACCGCGTTGCAGTCATCACAAGGAGAGACGAATTCATGCTTTTGCTGCCATGTTGCGGCTGCTTGTCGGGGTTGGCGGTCACATTACCACACATGTTGCGAGTCTTTCAAAATCGTACGTAGGTGGGTTTGAATTCACTGTCAATGCTTGAGGCAGTTGGCATGTTTTGCTTGCTGTTTGTACGTTTGCCGTAGCAAATGCACGTATAAACAATGACCAGGTGGCCAACACCAACCAGTCATCATGTACTGAGCTCACCAACGTCACCGATAGAAGTCATGTGCAATGGAAATAAATAATAAATACTTGAAACTCGCCTTAGGAACAAAGTTCATCACCGACTTGGAGCATTGGCCAAGCTGCTTCTTCACTTGGTCGTTTGCCAACTACCCTATAGCTCGCCGACCTGACATGCTCGCAAGAATCAACACCATCAGTAGTATAAGCATATGCTTTTTTTTAATGCCCTTGAGAGAATGAAACTCAAATCTAACCAAATTTATTCGCCAAGTCGGTTCAAATTTTGATGACAGTGCCTTTGGAAGAAAGCCATGTAGGAACACACGGTCCATGCCGGATTGCCTATTCAACAGCGTGTCCATCACGATGTTTACGATTACTTTGCACAAGATTCACTGGCAGAAGCAAAATACTTGTTATTGCGCCGTCTGCTTTGATTACTAAATGAGTTTAGGAATAATACAGAGCAAGAATTTCCCCCCAGAAATGTGTATCCAGCCAAGTATCAACTTATACTTCGAGGCAGATCGGACTGTCCTGTCAGAGATGGAACGCAACGGCTGGATATATGCTCTATCAACCAGTTTACGGAAACCGTACCAATACTAGTACTTGTAAAGTATCCAAAACAAAACCCCGAGAAATGGCCCAATATCTGAATTCTGCCGGAAAAGACGGCCGTCGTCAGTTTCTGGTACCCAACACTCGATGGACATGATATGATGGAGTTTCAGCAGAAGTGTATTTGCCATAGGTAGTGTATTTGCCATAGGTCTCGGACGCCGGTATATTCAACTACTCAAGCTTAACGGATATATAGGCTAGCTTAGCGCTTTGTGCTTCATAGCAGCTGGCTCATGAATGGGAAGGAGGCATATGTAGATCTTGGACGTGGCCAGCGTAATCATCAAACAGTGCCACAACCCAAGAAATTCGATAATTTGGGGGCAGCTAACATCAGTCATGAATAAGAATGGTGTGAATCACCTTTAAATAAATGTAGTCATAATTGACGGGGCCACCCATCCAAGCGAGAGACCTACTCATCATCTCTGGATCTCTTTGATCGCAACAGGAGTGGGAGCAAGTAAAGTTGATAGCAAAGAAATTTCCGGGATTACAAATGTCTGAGTGCCGTGTCCATAATACTACGATAGGATGCCAAGTATAGTGTATTTTTTATGCCTTGACGAGATACGAGACGGAGTTAAGATGTAAATATTTCATGGAATCCATCCGCGCCTCGAATATTCATATCGCACGAACCCCGTCATCCAGAATACACTGGCATATCTATGTAGCAGATATGTTAGGCTTGAATACAAAGAGACTCATATCAAGGCTCAGGAGTTTGCGACACTTGTATGGCCTGTTCATCCCTTGGAATGTATTTCACACGGAGGGAGAGGCATGGCTGCTGATGCTGCCACTTACCTTGACCTCGGCTTTGTCGGGCCGTTTCTTCTTGAGTTGTCTTCAACTACAACTGCCAGTCATGGAACACCCGGGCGACAAACTGGAGAGAGTAGACAGGGGACAAAGAGACAAGAAGTTAGTGTTGGTCGCCCTCTTTGGGACAAGTTACAATGGCATTCAGAACCCGTACATGGCCGCATACAGATGCCCGTTTCGTCAGTCATCCATCTCGGCACATATGCCAAGTGCTGGTCCGCGATGTTGACACCACCGCACACTGAGGAAGTCTGAATCAACTTCAGCAGCAACCGTCAGACTCACCGCCAACTACACGACTTCGGCTCACGACAAAGCAAAAACAAAGGAGATAAGAGACTCTCACCGCCATACACTCAGCCCAACCCACAATTTATCACGTATCACGGCTAAAAATGAAGAAATAAGAATAGTGCCAACATTGCCCGCAATATGGTCCCGTAGTCATCTACCACGTTCGTTCAACAACAGCTCACGCGGTCAAGAAATCCCGCTCATTACCCCATAACATTTCCATCACGGCGTGCAAATCCTCAGAACAAAAACGGTCTACGATGGGATTTGCACCACAAACACCAGACATTTATTCACCGCCACTGGCTTGCATACCCAACCCCCACCACAACCACAACCACAACCACTGCTCAAAATCCACGTTCTCGTGCCCAACTCGACAGGCGATGCCAAACAAAGACCAAAGACAAGTCTTGGTCCAAAGGGCTTGAATGAGGCCACTGGAGCAGCCGTCCGTGTGTATGTACACATGGCATCAAATCCATCAGCGGCCGTCGGAGTCGGCGAATAGCAACGCGCCACACCGCGCAAGAACCACCGCTGCCGGGTTTTTGGGTGAGTTTCTTTTTTCCCCAGTGCCACGATCTCGGGCAGCAGGCGTGTTGGGCCTCGCCGGCTGTGGTCAGTGATATGAGTCTATACTTGTACTGCAGGTGATGAGGGTGTCATGAACAACAAGACATTGTGACGCTTCTGTTGCGCCTTGACACCAGCCACTCGACGTTGGAAGGTAGGCAAACCCTAGAATGTCGAGCCAAGAGCACACCACACAGGTGCTTGTGCCACTTCCATTCGCTGTTGAAAGACGCTGCCAAGGCCGGTCAAGCAAACCAGAAGTTGTACCGGCGGCCAGTCTGCGGCGAGGCACACCATCACGGGCACCAGACTCATCACGAATGCAAGTCATGACGGGCCAGCGGGGACTGGGGTGACGACGAGGGCTGGCAGCCTGAAAACAAAAATAAAAAAAATTAAAAAAATTCCATTGACCCCTGGAAGATGGCTTTTGCACCAGTATGAGCTCAATGGCGTCGGCATTCGGCGAGCGACCAAGACACATGCCATTTCTGGCTACCCTGTGGCCATTCTTGCGTTGGGTCCGGTGGAGTTTGAATCGTCTTGCTCTCCGCGTGCAGAGTTTTTTTCTCAGTCCTGCGGGCCGGAATAACCACGATTCCACAGTACCCATTCTTCAGCTCAAGCGGGGCCTTTTTTGGAAATGCCTCCACTTTCACTATCCATCCTCCAACCCACCAGACGTCAGGCCAAAGGGTGTCCCGATTTAGCCGGCATTGCTGTACCATCATCCTTGCTCGTGATGGATTCGACCTGGTCCACCACAAGGATGAAGATGTGTCAACGGTGGCGGCGAGTCCCCCAGCCTGCATGTGAAAAAGCCATTGCGTGCTCCATCGCACCACAGCCCGCGTCCTGGAAGTAAGTGTAGCTTGAAAGAGCATGCTGCCCGTGTTGACCTGCCATTCCCCGTCTATTTGCCTGCTGCATTGTACAGGGCGGGAACACGTTATTGCCTGTGACTGAATGTTTTAGGTCAGATCGAGATCTCTCCAGCATGTTATTACTCATACCACCAAAAAAAGAAGCATGTGTATGGAGTAAGCTTTTTGACAAGGGAAGCTCCACGGATGGCTGTGCACATCGGTTTCCCCTGATAGGGCAATGGCTTGGAGCTCATCTCCACCGAACCAAACGAGGACAGGAACCCGACAAACAGGTGGTGGGCTTCCCGGCCTCGACACAACAGTGGCAGGGGAGGCGTTCCGTCGGGCCTGGCTAATGTAAGGCACAAACTCAGAAAATCCCTCGCCACGTCGGCGGAAGGCGTTGGATCTTGGTCATCAGCCGCGCCGCGCCGAAAAGCCTGCGAAGAGGCTGAAAGAAAAAAACAAAAAACAACAAAAAAAAAAAAAAACAGGGTCAATCACGAGACTGAGATTCTGCCCGTCTTGTCGTTGATCATTCACAATGTAGCCGTCAAAGGTTGACTGTCTTCAGTTTAAGCTT